AATAGCGAAGTTAAAGAGTAAAGGTGACAGCGGGCATCCTTGTCTCACACCGCTGGTGATACTGAAGGGTGGCGACAGTTTGCCATAAACCGTCACTCTGCCCGAACTATGCGCGTACAGCACTTTGATAATGTTTACATATTTATCAGGCACACCTTTCCTCAGCAGACAGTCCCAAAGGGCACATCGATCGACTGAGTCGAAGGCACATTTTATGTCAAGAAACACGACAACGGTGGTTCGCCAATAAACATGGCGGTGCTCCAACACTTGACGCAATGTGAGGATGTGGTCGATGCAGCCCCGACCTCGACGAAATCCGGCTTGCTCTTCACGAATCTGGCTTTCATGAGTGCCAGTCAGTCTGTGGAGAATGACAGAGGCAAGCAATTTAGAGGCAATCGAAATCAGACTGATCCCTCTATGTTTGCCGCATTCCAAACGGGAGTTTCCCTTGAAAATTGGGACAATGACGGAGCGGTTCCAGTCTGTCGGGGCTGTCACCTGCTCCCAAAGTTTTGCTAGCAACTCGTGTAGATCATCTACTAGAGCTGGTCCCCCGAATTTCAAGAGGGCTGGGGGAATTCTATCTGCCCCTGCGGCCTTATGCAATTTCAACAGCTTGATCTCACGTTCGACTTCCGCGCGTGAGGGCGGATCCGAGGAGACGACCCAGGAAGAAAGGCGCTCAATGCCCGAAGAAGAAAGCGATAACTCAGATGGGTTAAATTGCCTTGCAAAGTGTTCAGCTCAACGCTCCAAGCGTTTTGACAAGCTGTGGATCAACTGCCCACTCTCGTCGCGTATGGTCTGAATAACACCAGGTCTTCTGCTGCCTGTTTCCCGTATCAGACGGAATAACTTACGATGATTACCCACGGCAGCGGCTGTTTCCATCTCAGAGGCACGATGAGACCACCAGGTTTCGCGGTCCTTCTTCAGGGTAGCACGTAGTTTTGCCCTGAGATTTTTGCGAGCCTCATTGTATTCGCTTCCAGCCGGAATACGTCGGTGAGCATCTATAAGTTCCAGAGACTCTGTAGAGACCCAATGTCCGGTTTGACAATTTGCTTTGCCACATGAAGACATGCCTGCTAACAGTAACCTTTGACGAATATGCGACCAGTGATCTTCAACGGTGTTTAGTGGGCGCTTACTCAGCCCAGATGTCAGCGCACTTTGGTACACATTCAGAATATCTGGCTTCGCCAGCTGGCTGGTATCAATCCGTTCACATGGACGTTGCGGACGTCCACCGAAACGCACCAGGAGGTCGGCACAGACAAGTGCGTGGTCGGAGTCCACGCTCGTGCTCCAAATCGAGCGACAATTTTGGACACAGCCTCTCCAGCGGTAACTCATCGCAATATGATCGATTTGCGTCCATGGTTGGCCCGAGGCTGGTGGCCACCAAGTCACGCTTCTGCGGGTGCTGCGTCGAAAGTTAGTGCTCGCGAGTAAGAGGCGAGCATCTTCACACAGCTGTAGCAATCGCTCGCCATTATCATTACGTGGCCTACACCATGTTGGCTGCCCAAATGAAGCTCATCAGAGGACAATTTTCCGACTTGGGCGTTTAGATCGCCAGCCAACACCACAGTATCCGTGCTTTTTCTGTAACGAAGGAGCTCGTGAAGTTGCTGATAGAAATCATCTTTTACAGTATCAGTGCTACAGTTTGTAGGGGCGTAGGCCGCAATGACAAACAGGCACCGTTTGTCCCCGAGCGACTTCGTAGCACGGGACGAACCAGCTAATCTAACGACGCACATCCTACTGTTTACTGGGATCCAATCAATCACGGCAGCTTCAGCCCGGGGACTCAAACCCATGCCGACGCCAGCTTGATCGGCATTTGAAGCTGCATCATCGCCAGACAGGCGCAACGAGAATGTGCCGCCAGTGTCGCATGTAGGGGATCTCAGGGTAAGCACGGAGCTCGAACCGTGCAGGCGGGTTTCTGATAAGCAGCAAATATCCATCGATAGGGTCTCTAGTGTGCGGGCAACTGCTACCTGTTGGCCAATCTGCAGCAAAGTGCGCACGTTGAGGCATGCCAGTCTTAGCGAGACACGAAGACTCCAAAGGGAAACGGATGAGCTGACGTTGTCCGCTTGGTTGAACATGCACTTGTCAGCTGGATTGGAGCGAGGCTATGCGATTGTTTGTGATTTGAAATTAGAAGACAAGCGACTATTGAGGTAAGCTGGGAGGGGACAAGAATTGGGGGGTTGAAAATGGGGATATATAAGTAAATTTGGAGCGGGACGATAAGGATGAAGAAGCGCAAGAAGGGGTATAAGAAGACGGGAAGGCCTGAGCAGTAGCGTCCATACCCCTATTCACACTGCTCGACGCAGCAGATAGGGCGCCGTTTATTATCCTCTGTGACGGCCAGAGCATCAAAAGATTGTTGTAGGAAAGGTTCATTGCATTGCGTGGGCAGAATACTGTCAGGTTGCCCAGGCCTAGACAGGATAACGATTAGGGTTCTCAACCAAAGCCTTTGGTTCAAAATCCTTACCGCAAGGTAGCGGGTTTTGGCACTGGACTACAGAGCGCGTTTTATGAAAGGAGAAGCCGCCCCCATTCCAACCCCAACCTGGAGGACCAGGAGGCAGAGTTTGTTTGGCCTCTTACCACTGACCAATCTGGTATGCGTGGCTCTGGTGCAAAAATGCACCACCCAGCATAACTCATTGGATCTCTGAGGCACGCAAACCATCGCACCACGGTGAAGTCCAGACTCATTGCGATATGTGGTGAACGCACCAGACTTAACGACATTCGAAAACCCTTAGACTTTCATCTTAGTGATAAACGCTACACAACAGTTTGATAAAGTGCAATGGTTAAACCACTGATACTTCACGTTCCACATGGGAACATTTTGACTTTAGTTTTCTTTTGCAAATCCACCCTGTGGATATTGTAAGGTTGTGCTTTTTATCCCATCATACACTATTGAGTTGAACTATTTAACAGTGCAGTTATGGCGAGCTAAGGAATGGGTGTCCAAAGACGGATATGCGAAATCAGCCCCAAGGTCTACATTTGTGTCATACACGAACTATTCTCGGTGTTCATGCAGCTTCCGTGATGTTTCATTTTGTTACATTTTTGCTTTGATGGACCCGCTATTATCATTCATTTATTATCCAAATATTACGTGGATGCCTTGATTCAAGTCACCGGCATAAATATCAGGCGACTGTAAAAACTAGCTGGAGTAGTGAAGAATTACTCATAACTCGTCGTTTCTCTGAAACATTTCACCGAATAAGAAACTATCAGCACAAGATCAGCTGCGTGGTTAATGTACATCACGGTATTGTCGTTTCTGTTTGCTTTGTTTTTGAGCATTTAGGGATCTGTTCGCCTAGAAATCATGTATGTACAGATATGTCTAAACAAATGGGCTGGATCTGCAATGAAGTTCTCTCAAACTTACAACCGTAGGAGGTTACCTTCTTCAGGATAGAGAGAAAATGGTGAATATTGCAACGGATGAATCAAATAAACACTACGTGAAATTTGGGGTAAGCATAAGCGTCGAATCCGCCAAAAAACGAGTGGATGGTGAAGAATTGTATGATATATCGATGGGATTTAATGCTGAGTTGGAACTGGAAATACTATTCCTCATAGACACTTTGACTAATGAAATGCCATTAGTTTCAGCAAATCCATGACTTCGCGAACAAATATACTTTTCTCACACCGATAAATCGGCTTGATGATAACTATGGTTTTCCGCTTAGTGAAGTCGACGAATAAATAGCAAAGGAGGAATTCCTTGCCGAAAAGAGCAGATTGTATTATTCTCTAAAAGCTTCAGGAGACGACAAAAATTAATGGATCTTCTGAGCTTTTAATCCTTATGAATAAATATCACCTTGGGTAATCTGCTGCGCATATTTCTTACTGGATTTATAATCACTGCCACCTGTGAGAGCGCATTCTCAAGACGCAAGCTTATAACGAACTACCTTCAATTTTCATTGAGCCAGACAATGCTTGAGTTTGAACCGTGCCCGGTGTACGATAATTATTTAGCTATTGCCAGCGCTATGATCGCGAAAGCCTTAGCATCCGGATCACCAGTGTTGCATCGGTTAGTTTACCTCGCTATAAGTCACACGCTTTTATGAGTTGACAGCTGGAGCGTCGAGATATTACTGTGGTTCGGAAGTGAATGACGCCAACCGTATGTCAATTCTATAACTAGAGGTTTGGTATTGTGACGGGCATTTCGGCAATGAATGTGGGATTGATGTCTATCTAAGCTGGCAATATGTGGTCGCAACATGTGATCGAGAGTCTGTATGACAAAGCTGGCATTCACAAAGACTGAGATGTGGAAATGAGTGTGGTGCAACAACTAAGGAATCGACTACGGTGCAGTGCCGCTATCTGAGTACTACCTCGGCTGATTTAGATGATCACAACCTTAAAAGACCACCACTCATAGTGCAGTAACATTGTAACGACCATTCTTTAGTAATCATCACACAGGGGAGAGAAATTTAGACCAAGCGTCTTCCTTTTTCCTTAGTATGGATGAAGTGCAAATCGATACTGAGATACGCGACATAGTCTACCGATTCGCTCCTACTAACGAACTACCAATTAATTGATTACCCCAGCTTACCGATGACAAATTAATTATTTCATCCCATCGCGCCTGACGAGTCGTAACTCATGCCCGCCTTAAACGCCTCAGACTACAGCGAACCATAATATAAAGCCAAACAACTCCTTCCCATTTCACTCAGTCCGATCCATCGCGTATGCATCATGTGGTGGCGGTAAAAGCTAGCGAATCACCAATGCGACCAACCAAATGCAATACGCATGCGGTCTAACCGCCAGTCGTCAAAGCCTGCTCGTCAACAAATCCGGTGTTGTGTGAGGTGCGCGCACGCAAAGGCACACCAACGTACAAGGTCGCAAATGGACTAGGTCCAATGGGCAAGCAGGCGCATGTGAACACAACGCGTCGCCCATATACGTGGGGCAGAGCGTCAATCACCAGAAAATCAATGAATTAAGCTGGCATTGTTGGATATGTGGGCAAAAGTAGACCACCAGTCCGCCACAATGTCACGCGAAAGGGCGCGGCGAGGTGTGTACACTTACCATGCCCCGGAAGTGAAGAGCGCGATATTGAGGGCGTACGAGGCTAGGGAAGATTGGGTAGGGGTTGCCCAATCGTTGAAGGTGAATCCCAAAACATGTCGAAATTGGATACGAGAGTGGCTGTCGAAGAAACCGAGAGGGAAACACGGTGGCGCACGTCATTATGCTCTAACAGATTCCCACTTGGATCGCTTAGTGGAATGGGTGTCTGAAGATCCATCAGCCACACTTGACGCACTACGTTCACGTCTGAAAGGTGTGTTCGATGTGAAGGTGTCCATTACCACGGTGTCACGTTACCTTGATGGGAGATTGATACTGGTGCAGAAGTTGCACAGGAGTGCGGAGTGCGAAAATTCGCTGGAGAACAAGCAACGGAGGAAGGCGTACGTGTTGGAATTGATGAAGTTGGAATCGGAAGGGCGACAGATAGTATGGATCGATGAACTGAATTGGAAACTGTGCAATCCTCGTGCCAGGGGACGTAACGCGCGCGGTTTCTTCAGAGAATACAGCACTATAACTGATCGAGGTCCAAATGTGCACATCGTGGGTGCGATGACGAAGGAGGGATTAATTGCACTTTCTCTTGTCCGTGGTGATTATTCCGAGGAGATGTGTGCAGAATGGTTGCGTGAGCTCCTAGACACTACGGGTCGGGCGTTGCTCGATGGTTGTGTGCTGGTTTGTGACAATGCTGCGTACCATGCTGGACTGGAATTGGTACTGGAGGAGAGGCAGTATCACAAGATCTGTGTGGTGCGTCTTTCTCCCTATTGTCCATCCTTGAACCCGCTTGAGGGTGTGTGGAGTATCATTCGACCGCGTGTGCTTGAAACAATGTGGCTACGACGTTCAGAGATACTTGGTGGTGTCCCCGATAGTGCTGCCTCCAAAACTGAATGGAGGATGCGAATGGTGGAGGATGCAATGAAGGATGCAGAATGCTTTTTAACTGCGAACTACTGTGAACAGATGGTGCAACTTGTGATGAAGAACCATACTCGAGCCTTGTATCTAACCGATTTGTAGCTAATATTTTTAATCACCGACAAATTTGTAAATAATTTTATCTTGTTGGATGTATTTTGGAATTACTTGAATCATCCGTGACCGAGTTTCTGACCCCGTGTCGCAATTGTTTTTGGGTCATCCGGTAATGAGGACGAGTTTGTTTTGGAAGCGCTTTCGGGTATGTCCGATATCATCACTTCCGAATTCGTGGCAACGTGAAGCTTATCAGTAGAGGGCTGGACTGTTTATAATGGCAACCGTTGAGTAACTACCGATGTGTTTGGTTCGCTTTGTGATGTCCTGTGGGTGCATTCAAAGCGAGAGCTACTGCCATCTGGTTCAAGCGTACCGTTGTGACTCGATCGATTTGTGCACCGCTTTATCAACCGTTGGACGGTGACTGTTAATTCGGTTGGATTAGGGAAGTCACTGTTTCATCTGCATGGCACAAAGATTCGCTACCAAGGCATAGATGTGGTCGAAGTAACCTACATATTATCTCATGCGGTTCTCCTCAGTTTCAACTAATCACTAGTTCTCGTATCTGGTCTTTCGTGGTAAATAGTTGCTTCCAAAAACAGGTACGTTTTCGCAAGTGTGCGGTGTTTGTCCGATTCTAAGGAGATATCTTAAGTTCACGTCCTAGGCGCATTGTGAACGCGGCTCCCATACATCAGCTTCTACCGTACGAGTGTTTTTGTCCATGCACAACTCTCTGTTTGAGAAGTCGTTTACTTGGCTTGCCTACTGTGCTGTCCTTAATACGCACTAACCTCATCCTCTGATTTGATCTGTCCAAGTTCGTCAGCGATATCGATGAAGTTTCCCTCATACCTGTTTCAGCGTGGAGTGCCCGTTTAACTGGGGCATTGTAAAGCTATCAGCCTATGAGGAAATCCGGAGACTGGTTGTAAGAGCGATCCAGGGATTGGAGTACGTCATTACTACGTCTCACTTTTTTCTATGTAATGGCCTACGCTTGCTTATTCACATATTAAATGAACTTATATGTCAGTGCCAGTGGTATGCTGTTGGCATCCGAAAGTCCCATCTCTGCGAGACATGCCAGTAGTTAACTTCCCGACATTTGCGTGGGGACTTGGGCTGACATCTTGCTCCTAGTACATGCGATGATCAAATCATTCCGTCACATCGGTACTTCTCGACCAATTAAGTGTAGTTAGCAACCAAGTTAGTCCAAGATAGAACTACTTCATTCGGTTGCTTAGATCGCCGTATGCGCTTCGAATTTGCTTGCTGCATCATGCAAGCCTGCGCGCAAAGCTCATGTGATGCACACTACCCATTGGCCCACAAGCGGTCATGTGAGGTCACATGAAAGCATGTATGTGACGCGATGATGCCGGTAGGCTTTGAACGGCTATTCATAGAAGCGCACCGAAATTATACAAACTATCTGTGTCGTAGTTTGTGTTGAGCCTTAATGTCAACCCAGACAGGCTGAACTGAGATGGTGACCATTCTTGGTGGGGGTGGGTTGAATCCGAGGTCACCGTGATGCAGTTGTAGAAATTTGTCCAGACCCAGACCATTGAATGGCCACACGAAGTCTGATTGTGGAAACAACTCTATCGGCCAGACCATCGGAATAACAATAATTTATCATGGGTTAGAAATGAAGTGCTTGACAATTCCCGTAGAATGCTTAAGGTGAATACTACCAAATCAAGAAGTATGTGAGTCGTCTACCGAGTTAAAGGTATTGGTAGATAACGTCAACGAAAGTGATCGTTGGCGTACAGCGTGAGAAAGATAAACTGTGGTCGCTCACTCGTGCTGCCCAGTGGGGTTTATGGGAAACAGAAATCCGGTAAAATAACATGCTTAATGTAATCCACACTAGCACAGTTTAGGTAACGAAGTGCTGGGGTCTAAGCGTAATATCCAATCGTTTTTTTGACTGTCCAAAGTAAAGTAGCACACAACTGAGTTTGGGAGAGTTCCAGGATTGACAAACCCGAAGAGAAAATTAAATCCTGACAAGGTTGGAAATGATGGAGCCACTAAGAGACCACGTTGCAAACCCATGGGCGAAAGACAAGATCTCCCTTTACAGGGTGTATGACATGTAGGTACTTGACCCAGATCCAACATGACTGTCGCAATGGCATGATACTGTGCAAAGTAACGGTGCATGACACTGTATTCCCCGTTAAAAGTAACGAGGGCGTGGATTGCTCACTCGCCCTCAACAAGTTGCATCATCATTGTGGATTCTAATACCAAAGCCGTTAGTTCGCATTAATAAATTACAGAGTGTCCGTTCAGATAATCGAGTTTAGGGAGCTGAGTTCGATATCCCTACGCGTTTCGAAAATGGATGATGTAGCTGCCTAAACGATAGAAATTAAAAGGGCCTTTAGGGCTGCCTAACTTGGACGGAGAAGTAAGATCATGGATAGTCTAAGCGACTGAAATATGGGCTTAGTACTAAGTAGTTTACTCTCAAAATAGTGTTCCGGTTGAGCTTCACAACGCGTTGGCATAGATGACTGCGATCACACAGTATTTGGCGTACCATTATGAGATCTCCGTGTAGCGTCACTTGAGCAATCCGAGTCTCTGCAGTCGTTCTGATACGAAAGGTGACGAAAATCCTTGGCAATCTTCTGTGCTCGACACCTTTCGAGCGAGGCGAGCTCGCCGAGCCTGGATAGCGTATTCGACTTGGGAGAAGGTGGATGAATCTAAGCTGTCGGGTACGCTTCGCAAGTGACCAACATTCTTGTTCCTTCTTGTTAACTCAGACTCGGACTGTCTGGAACAACAACGAATGGTTAAAACGAAATGACCGGTTTCTTATTCGCTGGATATTTAATCGATCAGGTATAACATGGTTTTCTACAGGCCTGATCAGGTGCGACTTTCCAACTGAACGTTCTTAAACACACAACACTTGCTGCTGATGCTGTAAAGTCCGTATTAAGTATATCTCTCAGTATGGGCAAACCGGGCGGGAGAGCCTATGGTGCGTTGAGGCTGGTGGTGTCTAGGTCCTGACAGATGGTCTACCCACTGCTGCTACTGTTGTGCCATTTGCTCATTCCTGGGCGCCTCCTCGTGGCGACCGCTGGGTGGGAGTTGGGTTTCGCCCTTCTCCCTGCTAAGATCCAGGACACCAATCCGCATGAGTCAGTGAACTGACCATGTGCTAGAATTGTGGGGTCATAAATTGAATCTTGCCACGCAAACAGTCGGCTTGAGTGCCGCCGGAATTATTTTCGAGTTTGTCAACCTGGAACGCTCTTTCGCCTTTTGCTATTTCCGCGCTCATGCTACCCACTTTAAAAACCACTCCACGATATTTTACATTACTTGATCTGATTTTCATTCATCGAGTGACGACAGGACGCAGACAATCATTGTGCTCACTAACACCACGAAATCGGGAGAGACGAATATAGATATTTCTCAACGTGGATAGAATGGTGAGTCTACAGATGCGATTTTCTGTTTTATATAACTTTGTTGAACCAACGTTATTCCCGCAAACCATTCCACGGGATACGTCGAATCTTGGCTTTTTTATCCGTATTATACCATTGTTCCATTATTCATTTCTCATGATGAATAGTTCAGGGGATAAACCATCTACGTACGTGGTTAGTGCCGTATAGCCTGCCTCCCCAACTTTTGGGAGAATGACCCGTTACTCTGGTTTGCACAGTTGGTGTCTGCTTTTGACAATTATGGAATTTCTTCTGCTTGCGCTAAATATCACCAACAGACGTCTCCGCTTCTGACAAATGTATCCTCCCAGATGACAGACATCTAGGTTGCCCTCCTCCCGATGCGAAATATGAGACTTTAAAGCAAGCGATCATACAACCAATCACGCCCTCCGACAAGTTCCGACGGCAGCAACTGTTTAAGGATCTGCAACTAGGGGACAGAATGTCTTCAGCCTCTTTGAGACAGATGCAACAGCTTTTAGCCACATGCAGCATGGACGCAGTGATGCTCCGCGTAAGGTGAATACAACCTCTCTCGGCAGACACATGCCATTTTAGCCGTGGCAAGCACCCTGACTCTCGCAGTGGTAGCAGAACTAGCAGACCGTGTCATCGAACGACATCAGCCAACGAAGGAATCTAGGACACTCACTCTACTTAGTACCGTCGCAGCCCCAGCAACATCCGCTACTAGTGAGCCGTCAGCAATGAATACGTTATCAGCACAAAGAGCGTCACTACAACGCCAAGTCAAGAAACCCTCTCTAGACCGTAAGCAGCGCTGTCGCTCTAGCTCCTCACGCCGTCGCATGAAGCGTAACAATTCAGACTTTTGCCTTTACCACTCTCGTTTTGGTAACAAAGTCCGTAAGTGTGAACTACCATACAGTTTCTCCGCCTCGAAGCAGAAAATCTTTCACGCCAGCCCGTAATGACGACTAATGGTATCGGCAAAACCCCAACTCGTCTCATCAACATTAGGGATTATGATCCTGAAACCCAGTTTGTAGTTAATGCCGGGATGGAAGCCAACCTCATCCCCCTATTCCAGGTGAGCCAACCGCTTCTTTGTTGACAAGCGAAAGTGTTGTCAATGGCATGCCAATAGTCATCTGCGGTCAACGGTCGCTTACCCTGGACCTAGGTATTCGGCGCGCGTTCCGCTGGGTATTCATCTTCCCTAAAGTCCCCTTTGCCATCCACAGCAATGACTTTTTCAGGCTTTTCGACTACCTGGTCGATGCGAAACGACAGATGATACTCGACACTGCAGCGAAACCCACTGTAAGCAACATCACCGACGATATCGAATCTGCCACCCCGGTCTACGCCTTTCCTCAGACATCGCCCGACTACGCTAACCTTTTCTCCCAGTACTACAAGCTCGTTCAGCCAAGGAACGCAGCTTTGCCCGTGGCATCCCAAGTCATGCACTACAAACGGACAAATGACCCATCTGTCTCATGACTTCCAGGTCAATTATCCCCCGAGAAGCTCAAGGTAGCTAGGGCGGCGTTTGATCACATGCTCGAACACGGAATTAACTGCTCAGTCTACAGCCCTTGGTCCTCTCCCTTCTAGATGATCCCAAAGAAATCTGGTGACTGGCACCCTTGCGGTGACCACTGCGCACTTAATAGGCTAACCATCCCAGATAGGTATCTCATCCCACACATGCAGGACCTCACCGCATGCCACACAGGTAAGACGATCTTCAGCAAGATCGATCTGGCTCGCGCCTATCACCA